AGGATGAGAAAATCCAGATCGACTATATCTAAATGGCCTTGGTGTTAGAAACCGACGTTAGATATATGTAGTGGAAATCGTTTGCGCATACCTTCAAAGACATGTACCCGTTTTCTTAATAATACTGAAAAGTAACTTTAGTGGAGAAAGAAAAAAAAGTCATTAGCTGGCCAAAGTTGAAAAGAATCAATGAATACATATAACCAATATGGAAATGAATTAGGACCTGAAAGAATAGTACTTTGATTGCATTGAATACTCAAAATGTGATTTCTCTTCTTAAATTCATTTTCAAACAATTGATTAAGTGATAATAAGAAAACGATACACCAGATCCAAAAGTGTAGCATCAGCAATATCAATGGAGGAAGCTTTAAAAGGAATAAAGCATCTTTCCTTCTCTCTCACAGAAGTGTGTGAGGGAAAAGGGGAGGAGAGGTTATTCCAAATCATTTAGACAATATCAGTTCCCTAGGGAGTGCAGTTCACAGGCTGCACTCGGTACCGAAACCCACCACCACCCTCAGGTCTTTACACAACACTTCCCAAATTACCTTAGAGACCTCTGTGAGATGCCGCGGGTACTGCATTTTTTTTGTTTTCCAAAACTAAAAAAAAGATCACAGACAGACGTCTACATAAAAACATAGAACAATATACAAATATGCTCATATACATAAATATATCTATATATTTATGTCTATCTATTGATATACATATATATGCGGATAGATAGATATATTTTAAACGGACTACCCCTTTACGCCTCGGGATCGCACTTTTTAAATGGCTCCTTATTTTTTGTTCTCCTTTCCCCCTCGCCGGATGCATGGGGAAGGCAGGCAAGGGGGTTTCGCCGTAATCGGCTGCACGACATCGAGAGGGGGTGCCTCCCGCCGCGGCGACGCCGCCACCGGTGGTTTCGGCGACTGCAGCATCAAAATCGCGTGCTGATCGACGAGGATCTCCTGCGTGGGGAGGCTGAGCTCCCCGCTGGCGAGCTCCTGCAAGGTGATGTATCGCGCGCCCGGCACCCCATAGGACTCCTGCGAGCCCTCCTCGTCGTCGCTCAGGGACGACCGGGAGCTGCCCCCGTGGCTGTCGGAGTGCAGCGTCTCCAGGCTGCTCCCACGGGAGTGGAGGGGGAAGTGGGAGGTGGAGATCGTCCCCAGGCTGCTCGTCCGCGCGGGGTCCGTCGTGGAGGTCTCCAATGGGGTCCCTTGGCTGCATCCCCGTCGGCGCGCCCGCGGGCGGACCCGGCGGGCCTCGTCGAAGGAAATCCCGACGACGTCGTGCGCGGAGATCCGCCCACGGGCGAGCCGCGCCGCGAGCGCGTCGACCTGTGCGGCACTCAACGCCGTATCGTTTGGGTTGTTGCCGTAAATCGGAATCGCGGATTGGCTCACCAGCGTCAGATCCCGCGAGGCGTAGATCGACTGGACCTCCCGCCAGACCGTCGCGAGGTGCTCTTTGGGCATCGGGCACGCCGGTGGGGGGGTGCCGTGGGCGCAGACGCCGTCGAAGCGCAGCTGGGCCCCGGTCTCCGCCTCGACCTGCTCGACGTGGTCGAACGCGGAGGCCGCGGTGGACTCCTTGATGTCAATCACCCGGCGAATCTCCAGCGAGGAGAAGCACATCTCCCGGACGACGTAGCGCACCCGTAGGGTCTCCAGTTGGGGGTTGAACAGCCGGATCGTGTTCGCGCCATACACCGGCGGTTGTGGGATGAACACGATCGTAACCCCGCCGGGATCGGGGATAAACGCGAAAAACGGACGCTCCGCGACGGTGTTGTAGTGAAACTCCCGCACATCCTGCATGCGAACCCATCGCGAGATATCCCCTTTCTCGCGGAAGATCACCACCGTCTCGTGGGTGATGCAGATGTAAACACCGGTGAGAAAGAGAAAGAGCTGCCCGCCCTCGGTTCGCCCGACGAGGTCGCCTCGCAAAAAGGTATAAAAGACGGTCTTGTCGAGCGATTTGAAGGAATGCCAGACGCACATCGGGATTTGCGCGAAGGTGATGCCGTTCCGCGGATCGAACGGGGCGAGCCCGCGATGGGGCCGCACATTCAGCTTATCATACCCCAACACGCTTTGCACGACGTAGCAAAACCGACGGAATTCGTACTCGTTTCGCAGCCGCAGCACGACGCTGACGCGGCTGCCTTTGAACAGCAACGGCTCTCCTTTCCCCCGTGGCGATTGGATCGTCTGGAGGTGGGCGAAGAGCGAGGGTGGGGAGCGGCCAGTCTGCATCCGGGTCCGCTCCCGCTCCAGCCGGAGGTTCGTGAATTGATCCCGCAAGCTCTCGTAGAGCTCGCGGAGGAAAAACGGGTCGGCGACGAACTCTTCGTTCACGAGGACGCAACGGCCCGGGCTGCCGTCGAGGCCGACGGAGGGGCACAGCAGCGGCCACGGCGCAGGGGCCTCCCCGGGCTGGAGGTGCCGCGCCTCGCCCTGGAGTTCGACCTGGAAGAGGTCGTTTTCGCGCAGGTGCGGGTCCTCGATCGAGGGCGCGTCGCGTTCTTTCCAGCTTTGGGAGATGAGGTCGAGTTTGATCTTCCGCCGCCAGCGGACGCCGTGGCAGAGGTCGGGGTGGGAAGGGGGAGGGGGGGGGGGGGACGGCGCTGCCGACGACGGGGATGGCCGCGTCGGCGAATTCCCATGCCCCATCGCCTCCTCAATGCTCGAGGCCGCGATTTGGCCCTCCCGTAGGGTGCCCGTGGAGTAGTAAAGATACCGCCGCATGGTGTCGAAGGCGACCTGGCGGAGCTGCCAGCCGTCGAACAGCACGTTGCCCTGCTTCTCCGCGTAGGTGTAGAACATGCGCGCGGGGGAAAGGGGTGGGGTGCGTTCTTGAGCTTCTTTTTAGTAGTGGTAGTAGTAATCGTAGTGGTGATAGTGGTAGTAATCGTAGTATTTTTTTTTTTTTTTTTCTGTTGGTTGGTTGGTTTGGGGCTGTTCGGTTCTGATGGAAAAAGGGGGGAGGGGAGGGGAGGGAGGGGGAGGCCTATTGATTGCGGCTAGTAATCTTGATTTAAGTGATTTGAATAACTAGACACTCTGCTTTGTATCCTACTAAGTAAATAGATTTTTTTTTTTTAGAAGATACACACATAAAGTTCTTTTGTTGGATTCTTTTCTGTAGAATGACGGACGTCGGTCTACATAACTACTTCGCAAATGTCAAGAGAGAAAGGGAGAAGGGAGTCGTGCTCGAAGAAAATGCGTCTCCAACAACATTGCCATGCTAATGACGCGTTTCAACGCAGTCACGGAAGAGGATGGCTGGGCACGCGGGATTACTCCTTGGGCGCTTGAAAAAAAGGGTTAAAAAATGGAAGACGAAACCTAAAGCGTTGGGCTTGTATCAGAGGCCCCTCACAGATTTATTTCTAATGCGCTGAGACCCCAAATTCACACATAAAAGTATACAGATGTAATTTACAAATTTTATAGAATACGATATAAATAACAGGAACAAGCAGAGGTTGAAGTTAAAGTACATGTTCGTTTGAATATTTCACCCCCTTCACTTCTTTCGATCTCAAAGCGTTGAGCCTCTCGAAAGGCAAACAGAGGGAAAATAGAATGGGTTAATATTAATCATGAAACAAATAGAAAACGAACATGATGCCTTACATATAGTTTAGGCCCTAATGAGAATATAGCGTCATATACGAAAGGGAGGGAGAGAGGGGCCCGGAAGGCTCCTTTATTTGTGTTCTTTAATATATAAACAAAAAAGGGTTGCGCTGTGTTTTTTTCCTTCTACAGGTTATTACAATAGATACTCCAAAATAAAACCTCAGAAAAGATGACATACCACCCATCTTTAGACTAATGTTTTCTTTTTACAGTTTTGTCGATTAAAATATTCAGAAAGAAAATAGTTGAGTATGCAATCTGAAGGTAGTTCCTATTTATGCACACACACAGAATATCATATCTTAAAATATTCAGCAGAGAAAGGAGAGAAAGCAATCCTCACTCAGAGGAGTTTCGATGGACTTGTAGACCCCTATCCAAAGGAAAGTCTATTCGATACCACCAACGATAATTATAAGGGAGGAGGGAGAACGTACCTCACGTGGAGTTTGGAACGAAGTTTCCAGTAACCAACCCCGTTACCCCTCCCCACCCCATCAAAAATAAGAAAAGCAGCGTGCGTTTTTTACATCATAGGGCAAAGGCTAAACGCCTGATTATGCTTCTGATCCTCACGCCGCTGAATCGCTTTGTGGTACGCAGATTCCCTTTTCATCGCACGTTTCCACCGTTTCCGAATCCGCGAGTAGACGAATTTCACGGGAACCCGCCGCAAACACAGGCGAATTTTCCCTTCAAAGAGGGGGCTGCCACTGACGAGGGGGAGGTTGAACTCGAAGATAATTCCTTCCTCTGCCTGCCAAAACCCCGGGATGCGGAGCAAATCGACATCCCCGTAACCAACCGTCGCGTGTTCGTAAAGCAACACGCGAATGCGATCGTACGGGTGAACGAGAAACACCGCGGGCTCGGCATCAGGGCCCCATGAAAGATTCTCCACGTTGCTGAGAAAAGCGGATTTAAACACCCCATTCAGCATGTTCATGCCCTCTCCATACACCCAGGCCTCGGCGTGGCAACGAAAACGATCCGGCATCCGCGGTGTGAGGGAAAGAAGCCGCACGAAATGCAGCTCCACGGCCGCTTTCTCTGTCAGACGCGTCTGCGAATCAACCGGGAAGCCCCTTAACCCGCTAGGGGTGTGCCCGTCAACGAAATCGCCCCCCTCACGCGATAAAAACGCCACCACGCACTCGAGAAAAGGGAGCACCCCACCCACCGATCCTTGAGGATCCACCGGCATCCGCTGATGAATGGAAATAAATTCAAAAACAGGCGTCCTCGCGATGGAAACGCGACCCTCGCCGTCGAAGGGCTTCCGCAGAATTTCTTCCAGCGCCGCGTTTCCCGTTTGAACGAGCATCCCAAGCAGCAACACACGCGAAAGGGGCGGTTTGGAAGTTCTCGAATTCCCTTTTCCTTCGTGATTGACCTCCCATTGGTCTATTTCACAGGCGATTGGACGCCGCCATGTGCGATTCTGCAAGCGAAGATACGGATTGCTAGGGTTGGAAGTCGACCCTTCGCCGTGAGATCGAGAGGAAATCGCGCCGAGAAGAATCATCCGCACCCCTGACGGCGCGTGGGAAGGTTGGAGGTCGATGAACTCGACATCCCCGCGGAGGGGGCCGTTGAAATGCCGTGCGAAATCCGCCACGCGCGCGCACCGCTTTCCTTCTCGCGCGTTGATGTGATCGACGTAGCGGTACGATTCATCCAACATCACGAGAAAGGCGTGGAGGTCCTCCCCCTCCCCTCCGCCTCCGACGCCAAATCGCAGGTTGACCAGAGGCTCCCGCC